CCCAATAATGCCAAAAAAAAGCACGCCGCTTAATTTGCTTTATAACTTTTTAACAGTCTCTTTTCTTTTGCTAAACTATTCTGTAGCCTGTTTGTTTTTTCCTTCCTTTCCCCGTCCCCTAATCTTTACCCCTTCCCCTTCCATATCATTTGTAACCATATGTAATAACAGCAACAACATTAATAATGATAATGATAATGATGATAATAATAATAGTAATAGTAGCAATAATAGTAGTAGTAGTAACAACAGTGATAGTGATCGTAATAATATCCGTCACTGATCCGTTGCCACTGTGAAAAGTAGAATAGAGACAGAAAAAGAATTTTCCCGGAGAAAAAAAGCGTCAAAATGCAAAGCTTTTCCTTCGATTATAACATTGTAAGGAAAAGAATTATACCGAGTACACTAACACAAAAACTTCTTTCTCTTCTTTATCTTTATTTTGCATCTTTCATCCAATGGTTTCTTGTCTTTACTTTTTAAACAAGACTTAACAAAACAATAAACTATTACTACTATCATTACTATCACTACTGCTACTAATATTACTATTAAAGAAAAGTTGAGGCAAAAATACAAATAAATAAATGAAGAAAAAACCACAAGCAGAAAAGCATAAAGACCACAAGCACTTTTAGTTTCTTACTTTTTTTAGTGAAGCAAAAGTCTTCTTCAGTTGACTCCTGTTTCATAAGACTGATTTAGTGGTTTATTGACCGACTGAGTGTATCAGTGATCCCTGCAGATTGCATAAGAAAAACAGAAGAAAGTCAAAAAAAAAGTTGAATCAAAAAGAAATTTAATTCCTTCGTTCATCGTTACAAGGAAAATAAATAAGTCAAAAAAATGCCAATATGACAATTTTAATAAAGAACGTAAAAAAAATTAAAAGCATTAAGAGGAATTTGACAGTTAAGCAGAATCCAAAGAGAATTGATCTAAGTTTTCAAAATAAAAACTGTCATATTATGGTTGTACAATCGTACGATAACAAAAGCCATTTTCCTTTATTTTTTTTTTCCTTGTTTCACCTTTCATTTACCAACTGTCTGAATCCCGCTTTCTGCTTTTTATTTCATTTCCACTCCCTCTTCATCTCCTTTTTCCTTTTCTTTTAACAAAAAGATTACATATTTTTTTCCCCTTCCTTTTTTCTCCAAATTTTCTCATTTTTCTCACTTCTTTATTCTACACTAATTTAAAAAAAATAAAAAGAAACAAAAACATGTCTGTAGAAAAAAGACAAATTAAGAAAAAATAATGACTGAATAAATAAATGAATGAACAAATGAATCAGTGACTGAACAAACAGGTAAATGATTGAATAAGTGGTTGAGTGAATTAATGAATGAATGAACAAACGAATAAATAAATAAATAAATAAGTAAATAAATAAATAAATAAATAAATAAATAGATAAATGAACGAGCGAACGAACGAATAATTGATGAACGAACGAATAAATGAATGAATTAATAAATAGACGAATGAGTAGACGAATAAATGAACAAATGAATAATTGAACAAATGGAAACAGTGAAAAACTGCGGAAACAAAATTATACATCAAACTGGTTTAGTGTCGACAATGTCACTGTGACTGCCGACAATTTTCAGAATTGAAAAAAAACATCAAAATGACAGAAAAAAGCGTAAAAGAAATTTTTTTTATAAATATCAACAATGGTATCTCACCGGTAACTTTAAAAACCCATAAAAATGTTTGAAAAAATTTTCCAGTAAGAAAGAAACCCAATTTTTTTTCCTTTTTTTTTCTCTTTTTTTTGTAAAAAAAAAGATAAGCACTGATTACCATTCACTCACTCACACGAAAACACACACATACCAAAAATCTCAGACACACGGACGCAGACACACGCAGACAAAAATACACACATACAGACACCACCGGCCATCCTATAACAGCACCGCCGATACCCCGGAGGTCCGGACACCGGTCACTGAATCAACAAAAACAAATGATGACCATACGACCAAAATGAATGAAAATATAAAACAGAAAAAAAATTAGATAATGATTTAGCAACCCTTCCAAAACAGCAAAATAATTTTGCCAAGCAGTTTTACAGATTTCTTTATCTTCCTTGTCCCTCCTCTACCTCCGTCCTTTCTTATGTTAGAAAAACAAAAAATAAAAAGACAAGATTATCTAGGAAAATTAAACCAATATATTTCCATCACTCGCATTGCTAAGACACCACTTAACCAAATAATATTAAAAGAGGAGGAAGAGAGACTGAGATTTAGGGGGGAGGAGAGGGATGGATTCGCTTACATTTGAAAAGAAAAGAACAATTTTCACTTTTCTCGTTGTCATTCTTTTTTACTCCTCAAAATCATTGCCGTATGTAAGACAAAAAAGTTAGAAAAAAAAAGAAGGAAATAATTCCTTTGCTCGTCTTCAAATTGCTTTCAAGCGAGTAAGCAAGTAAATAAATAAACGAACAAATAAATAAACAAAATATAATCTTCAGCTTAAGAAGTTTTATTCTTAAAAAAAATCCCTTCCTCGCCTTTTTCTTATTCCCCTTTCTTTTCTTTCTCCTTACTCAAAACAAAAAAAAAAAAAAAAAAAA